TAAACGCTTTTGGAGTTTTAGAAACAGCAAAAAGAAGGACAACTCTGGATTGGCCCCACTGACAGGATCATATGTTGTCACATACTCTGATACAACCAAGAAGGCAAACATTTTAACAACCAGTTTTGCTCAGTATTCAACACCAACGAGCCAGATGACAACATCAATGACTTGGGAAATAGCATCATCCCAGATATAGGTCACATCAACATCACACAGTAAGGAGTGTACAGGCTGCTCAGGAATCTAAAAAAGTATAACGCCACAGGTCCAGACGGTATACCATCAAGGCTACTAAAGGAACTGGCCAAAGAAATAGCACCTGTCATCACTACGCTTTTCCAAGCATCACTGGGACAAGGCAAAATTCCGACAAGTTAGAAAAAAGCAGATGTGGTTCCAATCTTCAAGAAAGGAGCGAAGAACCACCCTGGGAACTACAGACCAGTGTCACTTACATCAATAATGTGTAAATTGCTTGAACACATCATAACCAGCAACATCATGCAGCACATTGAGAACTACAACATCCTTACCGATGCTCAACATGGATTCCGGACACATCGATTATCTGGTTTCTATGATACATGACCTTGCCAAATCAGTAGATGAAAGAGGGCAAACAGATGTCATCTTGCTCGACTTTTCAAGAGCCTTTGATAAAGTGGCATACAAGAGGCTATTACACAAGATACATCATTACGGCATACGAGGCAATTTACACAGCTGGATCAGTGATTTCCTACATGCCCGAGAACAGCAAGTGGTGCTAGAGTGAGGAAAATCTAGCATCGCCCCCGTAGAATCCGTGGTCCCCCAGGGCAGTGTGCTCGGGCCGACACTATTCCTGTTATAAATCAACGACCTGCCTAGCTATGTTAACAACAACTCCACCATTCGATTGTGTGCTGTATAGGAAGATCCGAAACCAGCATGACACCAAATTACTACAGGATGACCTAGATATCCTCCAGGCATGGGAGAAGGACTGGCTTATGGAGTTCCAACCTCATAAATGTCAGGTCCTACACATCACCACCAAGGGGTCACCTACAAGTTAATCCAATAACAGCCATGGGCATGTACTGGAGGAGGTAGAGAGCACCAAGTACCTGGGAGTCACAATACATCAAAAACTCAGCTGGAATACTCACATCAATAACGCAGTGAAGAAAGCCAACAACACCAGAGCTTTTCTTCAAAGAAATATAGCCAATTGCCCATTGAGAACCAAAGACCTATGCTACAAGGCATTAGTTAGACCACAGATGGAATACGCCAGCACCATTTGGGATCCACATATTACCAACAATATACACAACATGGAGATGGTGCAGAGGAGAGCGGCCCGATTCGTCACTGGAAATTACCAACAGACCAGCAGCGTGAGCAGCATGTAACAACAGCTACAGTGGCCCAGCCTCCAAGAGAGAAGATCAGTCAGCAAGGTCACCATGATGTATCGCATTGTGAATGGATTAGTGGCAATACCATCAGCCCAACTCATACCAGCAGGTACCAACACCAGAGGACACAACCATCGATTCCTCATTCCATTCAATAGGACACTTATTTACCAACATTCATTTTTTCCAGTCACCATCAGGCTGTGGAACACATTACCATCAACAGTCGTAGACAGACCCTAACTTGATACCTTTACGAGGAGGCTGACAACCACCCACCTACGATAATGCACCATAGTGCTTTTAGTTTTTAACTGTATATAATCGATTTTAAATGCACCTGTGAATAGTTGAATTGCTCACATCACGCAAAGTCCGAGAATACACTTAAGTGGTATGGACTGTACCTTGAGGAAGAAGAAGAAGAAGAAGAAGAAGAAGAAGTAGAACAAATCAACAATAGAGATAGCTATACATGTGTACATAAGATATTGTTTCATAGAGTTTGCTTCCCGTCTATTTACAATGCTTTCAAGAAATCACACGTTTTGAGCTACGCAAGTTTCGTAATATGATGTTTGGGTAGTAATTCTTTGTAAAAGACATTTAAATGATTAAACTTTGCACTATTTTTTAATCTAATTGTTTGCATTTGAGCACCTCGAAAGTTCATATATGATTTAGACCTGTTTGATACTGAATAATACGAGAAGCAATCATTGGAATGTTTATTTCAAACTAAAGAAGTGTCCTTGACGATAATTTAAACAAAGGATATCGAATTTACAGCTTTGAAAGAATTCGACAAACAAAAGCTTAGAGTTTAACACATGGTCTCCATAAGGACGGGAACATATCGATAAAGACTCAGATGGACACTTAAGCGCAGAGTTAACCCTGATTGTGTATCTAGGGTATTTACATAACATTGCCCTATTTCATTATTGATTTAAATAAAAGTAGTCCTCGTAATTAACGCGTCCACATAGAACGTGTATATTGATAAAGCGATAGCTGCTGTTTATCACTGCATGTCTTATTTATATATTCGACAGATTTAAACAGTTTTTCCCATTTAACCTAAGTCACTGATTTACCTGGTAAACATCAAGTAATTGGCTAAAAGATAATGTCGATCAAAGACAATTTTGCATGTAATACTGTTATATTTGAAGGAAACGTGACATTTTTCAATATTCGACAATATCATTTCAATATATATACATATCAATATTTTTTTTAACTAAATAAATCATAACTATTCCATCGAAATATTAATAAAAATAATAAATATTTTCGCAAACATTGTTGTGGATTCTATAACACACATTTCTATTGCTGACAAACTTACATAAAGCTCTGCCGGGCTTTATTAAGTTTGTCATCAAAAGCAATGTGTGTAATAGGACCACAACAACATTTGCTAACACATTTATTGCTTAGATAGATTATCGGAAGTAACAACAGCGATTCCTTTTTCCGGCTTAGAGTAACTCCCCTTGACAAGGTTATTATCTTTCATCCTGACGTTGTTCATTTCAAATCCTGGAGACAGAGGCAATACTTTATTTAACTCGATTATTCTATTTACTAGATATGTATATATATACAGAATCGTGTACTGTACATTCATTTAAACGTATACAATTTAACATCTGCATTTCCGTGAAGCCCCCGGGGCTTCCTTCCCGTGTATTGGTCTATATGGTCAGTTGGGCTACTTATTGACATTAAATACACACACGTAATGTAGTGGAGAAATTGGCTTTCGAAGGTAACAGCATGTTTAGTTTCTAAGTTATTATTCTAATGGGAAATATATGTAGCTTGGGGCAGGATTCCGTACCTTGTATAGTTATGAATAAGTTTACATAATAACAGATTATTTTATATAATTAACATACTAAATGTTTAACTAAGATGTTGATTGTTAATATTCTACAAATTTTGATTTTACACTCTTTGCTTGACAAATGAAACAGGCGTTTTCGAAAGCTCGCAAACGTAGAATTTGTTCATGTTTTAGTCTATGCATAATTATCACTCGTCAGCAATTCGATGAAAAGAAATGGAATTGAGAGGCAGAGATCTGTACAGGCGATATCTGCGATTTGTGAAGACAGACAAGCTACTGGAATCCAGCTTGAAATGGTATGATAATCTCGGACTTTTCGATGGCATTAGAAATGGTGAATACAGAATCAAAACCCAGGAATCTGCACTTAACAGTGGATTAAAAGAAAGGTAAGAATTTAGTCCTATGTCGTAACGTACGCAAAAACACTGATAGAAAATGAGAAACTATCACGTATTTCAATCAGGACAACTTCTCATTGTTACTATATTCATGGTCTAACAAATATCGTTTACAGTTATGTCAAAACTAAAAAACGTGGCAAAATTGTCAAATTGACATCTTTGATCTTTGATTCGTAGATATTATTCAAATGTTCTTTTCAACACAAGCACTAAACACATCTTCATATAAATTCATCACGCTTCTGAAATTGATGATATGATAAAGAAGGAATGTCAAGGTAAAAGGGATTAACTGATACTATTACAAACTTCGAACTGTGAATTACCCAACAGCCCAATTTGCTGGTGCAATGGATAACGCACTTGCCTTTCATCAAGGCGGCCGGGGTTCGAATTCCCGATCGGACGTGAAAAGGTATGGGGTCACCTGCCCAACCTAGAGGGGTTTCTCCGGGTACTCTGGTTTCCTCCAACATTTAGAATCTCAATGCGCTCACATTTGGGCAAGCAAAAATGATTAATATGAGTTGAAATAACTAACTTCATAATTGTTGTAAGATAAATAAAGTTTATATATATATATATTTCTTTTAACCACCCAACTCATTCTTTCTATGCATATATAGTTGTTAATGTACCTGAATATGTATTGGTATATTGAAGCATTTTTAATCTGATGAGAAAATGTATTATATCTATAAAAATTCATTAAAATGACCGTTGGCTCTTTTAGTGAAAATTAAAAATCCCCATACCTCTGCCAAAAACTGTAACTAAGCATTGGAAATGATCTTTTCCAGCATGGCAAAAGCTTTGATAAAACAATTCTGAAAAAACGGATACCTTGCGGCATTTTTGAAAAACGATTGATGAAAAAAATATAGATAATCAACAACAGTTATCGAAATGTAAAAAAACATCAGCGGAGCTACACCGGGATTCGAACTGTGGATTATTCAGATTGATATTATATCGCTCTTACTAAAAGAGATACCTAGGCAACGGAAGGGTTCCGGCACAGCTGTGTTACACTTGCATCAAACACGAAATTAAGGGCATGTTACTAAATCTGTGAAAAAACACAATACAGTTGAAAAGGATCAATTGATAGTCAATGTCTATCTATTGATTTGAATAACAAACTATTGAAGTTAAAGAGTAAGGACTGATGACTCTAGAATGAAATAATAAACGCACTTTGTGTTTATACAATATCTGTTTGATATACAGTTACGTTTCCGCAATGGTACGGTCTCTTGTTGTGTCCCATGTTCTCGAGCTTGGAGACGAAGGAGAAACTTATATACAAGGGGAATGCGTCGAGGACCTGAACGACATCATTAGTGAGTGTATGATAGCCCCTGAACTTGAAGATGTTGTCGACGTTATGCACGCATGCGCAAAGATTGGCGGTCAAGAAGGTACATGTATATACAAAATTCATCTTATGTAAATATTCGGCTGAGCTAAATATTTGATTTGATTCAAACATATTTCATTTGCAAAAATACAAACGAAAAGAAAAAAAAATTGAAACAATATAATATAAAAGCCAATACATGTTTTCTTCAACACGACAGTAAAAGGTGTCACTTGATCTTTTTCCTTTTGTCAATACAAGTATACATTTCTCCAGGTCGATGTGACGCCAATGTAATTTTACAATATCATTTCAATTTGATAACTGAATAGCATGTTTGTTTGAGGTAGATTGTTCTGCTAACGACAACTGACCATTGTTAATGCCACAATATTGTAATTAACTAGGTTATACACCGGAACAGCGATACCTAGTCTGGCGGGCTGTCATTTTAGACGAGGCACTGGAATTTGTAAAGGCTACGATTGAACATAGTGAAGGTTAGGAAACGGTTTAACATAATTACTCCGAAATAGTTATGCCACAATATACAAATATGAACTTCTTTTTTTATTTTGCTAAAATTACAGCAAGTTCATTAAGTCAAATTTCAATAATGATTTTAAAGAGGAAATTACATACAAAAAACGTTCAGGACATGTTTTTTTCTTTTTGTACATAATGTTCTTAATAACTATATTGCATACATGTGTTGGCATTGACTGTTGTCATTGGTAGCTCTCATGGATTAAGACAACGTGCTGAACGTCATGGTTTGCATTTTACACCGGTCCTCTGTCCTTTATTTTTCAAAGTCAACATTGTTTTCAAATTCTTAAATTTAGGATAAACATGCTTTTCCTATCTTTATATCAATAATTTGATAATTTACCGGACACTAAGAAATGTTAAGCAGCCATTCAGAAGCAGTTTATTTATAGGTTATACTCGAAAGAGAGAGCATATCACACCTGTGATATATCCATTGCACTAGCTAGCTGTACGATACAGGTCGCAGTACAAAATTTTGCTGGACACATACAAGGCACTAAATGGAACAGCTCCCCATTACCTACAGGAGTTTGTTACCTTGTTAAGCCGCTACGATCACTGCAGTAGGAGAAAGAATCATTGTTGTGTGTCCCAAAATCTCGTACTGTGACCTATGGAAACCGATGCTTTAAGAGGGTTTCGGCCACGTTGTGGAATAGCATACGGTCTGCTATTAGAATACCCTGGCTAAGCGGGACATCAAAACTTACCTCGTCACGTCTATATTTTAGACTATTTGCACAGACTACATGCATATGTGCACATAGGGATTGAATGGATTTTTTACATGTACATTGCGACAATTGATCTACATATCCTGTGGAGCGCGTTACAGGATTTATAATAGTAGCTATCTACTTTAGGTGCAAAACGCTTACCATTGTTATAATTTTATATTTTACTAGGAAGCTACAGAAGAATATTAGACATTGGGTGTGGCCAAGGAGATTTTACCATCAGATTGGCAGAGGAATTTGCAACAAAATCTGTGCACGGTTGTGATGTATCCCCAATCAACACACAACGCTGTATCGATAAATCGTTTGATGTACATAACACTGCATTCTTTACTGTTCCGAATATTGCCGAATTGCCACCGAGCTGGAGCACGGTGTATGACGTAGTTGCCGTATTCCAACCAGTCCCTCACGGCAGCACAAATACCAGAGAAGTTATTTTGGAAGCAGCGAGAATATTACAAGATGACGGTTTCATCATCTACATCGAACAGGAAGTTAGTATCAACCCATCTGACAAAAGGTTTCCTGAGTCTGCGTACGACCTTGCCGTGTCGTATTGGTACTGTTTACCAAGCGGGCTGCCGAGTGTTCCTAAGAACGAGTATCTGGTAGAAAACACCGAGAACTTCTTAAGTGACTGCGGGCTGCGTGTACAAAGTCATCACGTGTTACATTGTAGCATATGGAACCATGCCTTCGTTTGTATCAAGAAATGACTAAATTTGATAACGATTTTGGTCAATATCAGAGTTTTGATAGGTCACTAAGCTGTGGACTTATCTGAGGTCAAGTAACATTTAACAGTGTTCTTTAGCTTATTTTATCAAAAACACATCATTAACGATAAACATATTTATAGTAATAATGTTTTATTGGTCGTTCTTTCCTATTCATACATAAATCAGGTAACATAAATTAAAAAACAGCTTTTGTCATACTGAAGGTAAATAAGATATTCGTTTTGGTCAACTTGCCAGGTTGCAGTTATTTGTGCTTGATTAATTTTGTGAAACATATTTGTTCATGTTTACCTTTCTGTGAATAAAACAATAACAATGCGAAACGAGTGTTATCTTTAAATTTCTAGATAACAAAACAACACCAACTTCAGGTTTTCTCGTTGCATATATTTGAGCGCACATGTTGTTGAATACATAAATATATATATATTTGCTGCTATTATCCTGTTTACATTGCAGAGATGACGTTACAAAAACCAGTCAGCTCATGAACATTTGTTTCAGAAAAATAACGACTTTACAACATGCCCAATTTGTTATTCATATGAAATCTGTAGCATAGCAACATTTTATCTTTCCAGACAGGATAATAAGTATTTATGAGAGCATGCACACAAAGGGATCCCACAGGTGAGAATGTAGCCTATTATGAGTCTAGAAAGTTGGCACTAGTGTTTTAGCGTCTTGACGTTCTATTGTCACTCGTATTAAGAGTTCCCTCCCCTCCCCAATACAAACGATAAAGTAAGGAATGTTGACTATTAAATATTTCAATAATAGTCGACAAATAAACATCGTTTTATCGACAAGTTTCAAACACGTTTCACAAGTATTGTGCCAGGAAGTGACACATAACGTATCAATGCTTTAGTAAACATTGCCAAGCATTATAAAACAAGTTATGATTCTAATTCACTACATTCAACCGAACATGAAGCGTTTGTCATATAAAACTCAACACCTATGTGTTGGAGTGGCCTTCGACGGTCAACCATTTTATTAAAGGACAAGTACATGAAATACAAAGGGCACGTGCCCGATCCTTCTTCCCTTCCTCCTTCTCCCTTCTCTTCGTCCTGAATCCGGTCCTGCCCGACGCTAGGAATTCCCTTTCCAGAATCTTCCCTGGATTTCGTACCTGTCTCAAGGAAAACGGGGAAATTTCTATGATTTCTAATTCTATGATTTAACAAAAGAAAACATAATTTCTTGAAGTGAACCGTTGAACCGTCAAGACTCGAATGACTATGTTACCCTCAAACTACATTTATTACTCTATAGACACCAGTGTCGCACCTGTAACACGTGCGGTTACACGTTACCCGTCCCGCATCACGCGGCTACCTGTGTCACCTTGGCCTCATATCCGGACACTAGTACACCTGTAATACCTGTACTATAACAAATACATTTACGTTTCGGCGACATATCCACTGTACGTTACACTTTTCATTGTTAAATATATAAATAACCATTCTTTTGAATTACAAATCACGAAATATCTCAAAAACCGAACTGTGTGTGGGTAGGTTTTTGTTCTGGAAAGAACGTGACTATACAATCTATACAAATCTGGTAATCAGCATTTTGGACACACAATTTGGCTCAGCTAGGATCGAAATTCACTCGATTCCGCTTATAGAAAAAACCCACTAGTTTTGACATATTACCAATCAAAACCCCGCTAACAAAAGCGCACATGTCATCTATCACGGCCTTGTAAATCATATATATAGCGAAAACATGTTTTTGACACAGAATTTGGCCCAGGTAGGATCGAAAAGTATAAGACAATAACTCGAACCCGATAACCCCCTGAAAAAACACCCCCGACTTTAAATTTCAATCCTACTTGTGCATAACAAACTCCCAATCCCTAATTGCGACAATCCTGTTGTGGTTAAATTTCTATCCTATTTCTTTTCTTAATTTTTAATGATCCTCCTTTACTGACAGAATCTATTCTCAATAGAAACTCATGGCCCTCTCCCTCTTTCGCTCGATTTTGAAAATAAACTAACGAGAGTGAAATAAATACCATACTCAACAACCACGAGTCGTGTGATCTGTTTCTACCACAATCTCAGTCGGAAACATCTGGAGTATTTCCTGATTTGAATAGCATACACACATTTTGTTGACAAGGCTTGCGTAGTGTTATGACCCATATGTAAAAAGTCACTCATTAATATTCAAAAATTACTTGTTTTTTTTACAAATTTAATAATTGTCAAAATAAATATAATAGGTGATCGTCTTTAAGTATTCAGAATATGCAGTATTGCATTAATATATATAAATTGACGCATATCGTACGAAGTCTGCCTCCCGCAAACTGATGAAGACAAACTAATCGCTGTCAATGTCCAAAACCATAGGCCTGGGACGTTTATTCGTGACGGTTCTATGGTTACGTTTATAGTGAAAGTTCAGCTATAGTCAGACCCTCCAAATAGCGATAACGGGACGTTGGGAGAACGAAATATTTCCCGACACTGTGACAGATCTTTAAATAAAATAAATTTTAAATAAACAGCATGTGAAAAAGCACATGGAAAAAGTAGTCCCGGTCAAAGTTCATCTTCTCGACCACTCAAAACTCTGGAAGGTCTTATACCACATGAGGTGTATAACTCATTTTTTTAACAGTCTGCATGTTTATACAATGCAATGTCTGTGAGTGGAATAACACAGCGTGTGGTAGAAAAACTTATATACATGTAAATTGATAGTCGAGGAAGCAGAAAATCAAATCTGCGGTAATTGCGTCATAGATTTATTTGTTTCTATCATTAAAAGCTATTCCGTCAATGATATTAAAAAGACAATGGAAAAGTGCATATATCGTTTCCAATATGTGTGTTATGCAATAAGAAACAATCGAAATGTTTTATGACGAATAGGACAATACATAATTATATTAAATAGATAAGGTCCAAGTGGTACTATTATCTACCTAATATAGGTGCTTGTTACATCTTAAAGAGACGTATACTACTAGTTCGAGTTATAGTGTTCTTAGCCTTCAGACCAGTAGTTTTATAGGTTACCCGAGTCACTCAGATGACTCAATAGTAGTCGTATTGCGATCAGTTATCGTCGTGCGTCGTGCGTAAACAATAACACTGTCGACTTCTTCTCAAAAACCGTTTGTCAGATTTTGATGGAGCTTTCTGGTAGTTATAAGCCAATGGTGGAAACTATAATCTATACTCAGGATAGGGCTGACCCCTGAGGAGGCTGAGAGGCGGGGCCATATGGAGGCACATAGTGCAAAACCTTCAAAATATTTCTCCTCTGAAACTCACAAGCGGATTTTAACAATTTTTTCATAACATGATGCTTAGATGATAGAATCAGAATTTATACCCCAGGAAGGGCTGACCATATCATGGGTTTGTGTGGTAGTTGGGGCTCATAGGGGCCACTTAATGCAAAACCTTAACAATCATATTTTTGACTTCACTTCAAAAATTGTATGTCAGATTTTATGAAACTTTGTGTTAATCACTTACCTTAGATGGGGATAAAAAATTATAAGATATGGCTGTCCATTAGGACCTGGGTGGTGGAGCCAAAGGGTCAAATGGTTTAACTTTCAAAAATCTTCTTCCAAATATTCTCGAATAAGATCCTCTTTGTGGATGGAAATGTCCTACATGAAATATGTTTTATCAAAATTGTGGATTTCATCGAGCTTCCCCCACCTCTCTCCCACCCAACGTTAGCAGGGAGTAAATATTTACTATGATTTATATATGGAAATGGCAGAGTTGGGTATATTTAATTGAGTTTCAGTGTAGAATAATTCAAACTTATTTAGAATTTAGGGGCTATTTTCTTTTTCTTTATAACCTCATTATGCTATGTCATTTTTTATTGATATTCAATTTTTGCTGGCTTTATACATGTATAAATGTTAGTCACTACCTAACATTGTTTTGTAAAAGCCAATCCACAGTCAAACAGACATTGTTTGGGTTATATATAGTTGTATTCTTCCGACAGGCAGCAACTGTAATTTAACTCAGATGACTGTTTAAGGCCCATAAACCTTTTGTTGAAAGACACAATCTTTGAAACAGCTAAACTCATGTTACGATGCCGTCCATAGACACGGTTTGTATGCGACACTTTGCCTTATTTGGTTTGAAATAAAATATATTATAAAAACAGATTACGTAATATTTATGTTCTGGGAGGATTACAGTGTTATTCAGAAAAGCGAGGATTGCCATTTAAAATGCTATCGTTTTAATGATCTAACAGCACTAGTCCCGGATTGTAATGGTTAAGTCAGCATTTCTTGGCAAGGTGAAGGACAAATGAATTCTACGTATGAATGCCGTTTAAAAGCAGTTAAATGCTTAAACTGACATTTTAGTTCAATACAAAGACACACAATTTTGTCAAAAGTTCAACATAAGTACATAGTGGTCCCATAAAAGTTCCCATTATATCCCAGGGGTGTACAGTACCATAATGCCTATTTTCTATTTACATAGCGAATCAGATTTTTCACGACTGGTCAATTCGGATTGTTTGGTTTCGTTTTCCGTTACACTCGACTTGACAAAAACAGTCTCGGTCAATTTATAATGATATTTTCCGGTACTTTCAAATGGTTTTCGTTTCAGCTTTTGAATTTTCTTTCGTATTAATGTATGTTTATCCAAGATCCTGACGAAAAGGCAATCTGTTGTTTTTCTTTAGAACTATGGTTTTCGACTGTTTAATTTGGCGGTAACCAGTGGAAGCCCTCAGGGTAGTGCTCTTTGGCCGCCACTTTTTAAAATTTAAAATGTACATCTTTTGCCGACGATACAGAAATACAGTCCCAGCAATATAGGATTGCCTCCAATACAATTGCTCCAAGACGGAAATAAACATATATATTTTTTTATCTTCCAGTCCGGAATCAAAAACTTGACGCGGTTCGTGTCAGAACATTTTTGTTCATATTTATTATCCTCCTTTTTTGCGTGCGTACCTGCGTATTAATTTCAAAATAAATTCAAATGGAATACCATTTGAATTTATTTTGAAATTAATACGCAAGTACGCACGCAAACACACACATACACATTGATTGTATTGTCAATTTAACTTTTATATAGAGAGATACAAATTGTATTCATATCCTAACTTGTTGCCATGGAGACATAGATGTCGTAAATATGTTCTAGTTATGACATACTCAATAAATATATGCGTGTACTACATGTACATATATGGTGGAATATATA